ATATAATAATTAATATATCATTAGTATGCATAATAATTGTCTTATTTCAATTTACAGATCAACTTAAAACATCTATAATGAAAAGAATAGGACATCCACCAAATGCTGTACTACCAGGTGTGCCATAAACCACGACAATTAACCGAAATTTTCAGATTTTATTAACTTAAATAAACTTCGAATAAAACATCTGAATTAGAAACTTTCATTGTAACATCCAACTGAAATATGCTCATTACACTTGTCGTACTAAATATCACAAACATATTCTATAGACTAAACTAACTTGTAGTCAAAACAAACGACATTATGTTCTCATTGATAAAGAATTAAAAGAAAATACAATCTAACGATTACTTCGCAGAGACTCGGCGTAGGTAAGCGAAACTCTACTCTTTATCCGCATTCAGATCCATATCCTCGTTAGTACATTTATTAAGAGCGTATTATGAACTTATATTTGCAGCTCACTTCTGATCATTGTTAACAAATGACGTCTTATTTTTACCTATTTTCTACTCGAAATGTATATATTGAAGGTGTGACTTTATTAAATAATAATATACAAAGATATTTTCGGATGAAATCTGCAAATCTTATCTTCTTCAGCTCTAGTTCACAAAAACTCATTATTTGTCATAGATGCGAAAATCGTGAGAATATGGGCACGAATTAAAAGTTTTACGATCGATATTTTTATTTTTGATCAAAGTAAAATTTAACACTTTCAATGGTTGTTAGTTATCAAAAGTAAAATAAATTATTTCCGACCGAAATCACCACAATTGCAATTACTCGGCTGTGGACACTTTCCACCATAGAACATGCAAGCATTCCACCAACCACAGCGAGCCGTGCAGCTCATAGTGATGTCACCGTCGATATTCGCATTGTCAACCTCGTCATCTGCAAGGCTCACATCCATACATACTAATAAACCAAGGGCGAATAAGCACAGAAAGTAATTCGATTTCATATTGAAACTAAAATTGAAATGAATCTTATAAATAAACAAACAGTCGAACCCTTATCATTTTGAATTACTTACTAACTAATACGCAACTGAGAAGTTACAATGAGATAAATTAAAGTTGTATTGATACAATTACAGTTAAAACGTCGAAACTGTTTTGATAAATTGCCAACGATCATTCTCTTTATATACTTTGTATTATTGCTGTTCGACCTTGTACTTTTTGAGTATGATGTTTTTCATCGTGAAATCATGTGTATCATAATAGTTTAATTAGCAATATAAATATGAATAAATAATTCTAAAAAGGCAACTGATTAATGAAATTTTTTATACAGTTTTCATGTTATTGTCCATCCGACTGCAAATTCAAATACTTAAATATGCAAATGATCAATCTTATGAATAGCTTACGCTTTTATATCTTGCATAAATAATTGCCCAATGAGATGACATTAAATGAGCACGATTTTCATTTGAAAGTACCTAGCTTCAGTTTAAGTACAGGCGTAAATAGAGGAGTTTATGATATTTTTGATATAAACCTAAAATAAAATAAAATTCATCTTTATCCTGGCTATACCGGGAGTCTAAACTTGATGATGTGGATATGGATGTGTGTGTGAGTTAAGAGTAGTGATACCCACATGCTCAAGTATATAGGTATATAGCATAAATCATAATTTAACTTAAGATCGAATTAAATTATGAATTTATTACTGATGACAAACAATTATCATTGCCAATTGTTTACGTTGTTATTGTTGTTGATTTTGTTGATAAGGATCGAAAATTTCCGTTCAATTAAGATATTCATTACAGTTATTCTACATTTATTTCGTTTATTTAAAATTGGATCTCTTCTATATTTCCATTAACATTCATCCCTCATTACAACACATTACAAAAAAATAATAAAATGAAAACTATACATCAATTGTTTTTCGCTTATTTGATAGAGATTTTTAAATTAATTGCTTGACTATAGAAATTCGACATAAATACAGACAACATTGACTAAGAATTAAAAGCGACGATGATAAGATACGTTTTGACTGTTATATATAGAGTTTTGAATATGAATTAGTGGATTAAATTGTTCGCGCGATACCCGTTTTATTTTCAGATAACTTTTTAAACGGTCGCTGTAGATATTTAAATAACTTCATGAGTTCATCACGAAATAGTTGACTTGATAATGTAAAAAGATAGAAACTAGTACAAGCACCTGTAATAGATATGGTGCCCGTTATATGTGAAAACAAATCATCTTTAGCAGCTTGAAGAGCATCTACGACCAAAGGAGACCTTGCTGACATATAAATATAATTGATTGAGGTTAAAGATGATGTTATACTTAAATAAACACATTGCATAATCATCATTTGAATCAATTGTCGATCTGTTTTCTTTTGATTTTGTAATTGTAATTGAGGCTGTTGAGTTTGACCATTGATCTGATTGTTTCGAGGAATAACTCGTTTTCCTGTTTGTCGAATATTATGAATGGTTAGTGATCCAAAACAAAACATGACACATGGTGGACCTACGCTGAATGTAACTAAATTCCAAATTCCTTGAAAAAATGCAAAAGAACCTTGATTTGCAGGACATCTTAAATGTCCCGCTTGAATCTGATATAGGATAGGAACATAAATATAAGTAAAACCAATCATAATAGTCATAATCAAATTAGCCCAAGAAGCAACTCGAATATGGCTCCATGCCCGCAAAGAAGTAGATCGTGAACTACACAAGAACCTAGGAAAAAAATAATAAATAGATTGTAACAAATTTAATGAAACGATTTGATGATAACTGTAAATAAATTTCATCAACAATTATAGACTAGTTTGTTGGCATCAAAATTCGTCAGAAGACATATTAGGTTTGGTTAACTTTCTTTATAATATCATAAGCTATTCATAATAAATTTAAAGATACATTTTTTTATATAATATAAGAAATATACAGTTTAGCTTTATACAAACGAAGTAACACATAACTAGTTCTACTCAATAAACTACAGTAAGAAGAAAGTATCTGATAATGGTTAATTTTGCAATTGAATTTGTACTCTATTTCAAAATTCTATATCGAAAATTACGATTTATGTGTAGTTTAGAGAAAAATGTCTACGTTCTATATTGAATTTAACTATATATATTATTTACCGATCAATAGAAGCAAGAGCAATAAACCAAGATGTTAGAGTTCTAAAAAAAATATAAATAAAAGATTATACTGATTTCTATTTCGTGAGTATTTCACAAACTTTGACCAGTACAAAACAAATGTAAGTAGTTTACATGTCACATTTGAATAACCAAATAGATCTATATTATATCCACTTTGAAGAAGACGTAATGGAGTGTTTACACATGTAACAAAAGCACCACAAATTGAGCTTGCTAGGAAATAACGTGTACATGGATTTGCCCAGAGTTTAGGTCGTGTAAACACATAAATACTGAGTGCATGACCAATTATGCCCAGGCATATTAATAAAAATGACCAACATTTCGTAAACATTATCTTACTATATACCACAGCATCAACTTCAGCAGTACTTATATTCGATGACGACATTTTGTAACGAAATAAAATGATCAAAAGATAAAATAAATCTGTATTTTGCACTTCTTGCTTTCAGTCACTCATACAAACTTAATATTTTGCAAAAGAAAAAAATATATTCAACCCATAATTATTTTTTCTTCTCTCTTTCTCTCTCTCTCATATAGAAACTGCTTTATCATCACTAATCTTCCGCATACGTGCATCATTAAATATCAAAATAGTGAATACTTAATGAGTATAATTTTAGCTCCTTCATTAATTATCAAGAAGAAACTATTTTTTGCATCCTCATGATTATGAAAACGACCATATAGCGTATTCTTTTGAAAACAGGTATGTCATTGTTTAATCAAATAAATAATAAAAAAAAGGCTCACATGAATATACATATTAGTTTATTGAATGAAATCGTTTTTGATAAGAAAGATGTATCTTCATACTTAACACAATTATGTAAAATAGAAAATAAAAATCGTCATAGTAAGGAATATTTATGAAAATATCAATAATCTTGAAATTTTAATCAATTTAAAATAAAAGTAAGTTTATTTAGGTTTTTGTTTAAGTCTAATTTTTCGATCATCATCAACCTTTCACACGATCCTATACTAGATGTTACAAAATACGAACACAAACATAAAAATAGATTTATAGTCATATACATCCCCGGTGGAAGAACTCATAAAGGAGTATTCAAAAATAAAAAATTAAATTATCTCTACTTCAATATAATTAGTTTGGCTTAATATAATCGTGGCAAAAAAATATAAAATCACACATGAGTTGTATAGTGTTTATTTACACGATTGAGATGGTTCTGATGTTCGCTGTTGTTGTTTCTTCTTCAGTAGTGCTTGTTGATGTTGTTATTCTTTGTTCACTCAGAATCGTTAATATTTGTGCAAGTTGCCGTAATGGATTTGTTCATATTAATATTAGTTCTGCATGAATTGTTTTTGTTGTTGCTTTCTTCATCAATATGTTGACGTAAAAGAGAACCGACAATTTCATCTGACACAACATTTAATTTGTCATTAAGAATCATACATTTCATTTGTATAAATTTTAAAACAACAAGTTTTAATAAACTCCGTAATAGAAAACTTAAAAGTTGTATACTGACCTATAAATAAATTTTCATGTTTTCTTAAATATATTTTATCGCCAATATGACCATTTCTTTTTTTTACCAATTTTCTCATTACCATTGTTGGATATATTGGTGTAGTTTTAATTTCATTAGAATTTATACCAGTAGTTTCCTAGAATTCCAATAGAAATTGGATAAAGATATATATATATATATATAAAAGAAGAAAACTTACTTTGATTTTTGTATAAATTTCATTAGTAAATTTAATTGGATTTGTTTGATTTACTAATGTCTAGTTAATAGAAAAAATAAACTTTTGATATGAAATGAATGTGTCTATCAAGTTTTACTTACAACTGGTGCGTTTAATCAAAATCTGTGTTCGAAATTCTAAAATCTGGAGGGTGTGGATGTGGATAAAGGTGCTAGAGTACACACACACACACCACCATATTTCAAACATTGTCAGTGCTTTCAAACAGAAGTCAGATCATGGGATTTCGTTACGAAAGTGGTAGCATATTTTTCTGCTGCAGTGCAATCATGAACAGAAAAATAATGAATGACAGAGCAAATTTTGTTCTACATTACTTTCTTGCATTTGATTTGATTAAATTCAAGTGTCAATTATGGAAAACAATTGATGATTTCTCTAATTTAATTTTTCTTGACAAATTGTTCTATAAAATTTGTTTTTTACAGTTTTTTCTGAGTCATCTTCAGTTACAGTGATTGGATACTGAGTAAAATACTTGTTACTTTCGATACTCTTACTTAAATATTTCAAGTACTTAATTACATTCTTGTCTCCATAGAAAAAAGAAAAAGAATGTATCTTGAAAAACTGTTTATTAAATGGTTATGTACTGTTAGACAGAATAATCTATTGACGTTTCTGTTTTTGCTGTTTCCGTAGGCACTGCAAAACGTTCAATAATAAAATAATCAATGAGACGGTTGCGGCCACCATCTTCATCAATCCAAAGTAACAAGCCAAGGTCATAACAAAATCATTTCGTTTTGGAAAAATTTCCAAGACGTATTTTTCCGCAATGTTTTCCAGATAATCAGAAACCATGTAGATGAACGGACTAATTAAATGATAACGCCCTGATCCTAAAGCTAGATTTGGCAAGCTCAATGATAAAAAGAGTAACACCGGTAAAATAAAATCCCTATAATTAACCAAGCGATACGCATTACGTCCATCTTCGCCAAGGTCTGATAGAATTTGGTATCCTTCATCAGAAGTGTAGTAAGTCATAGTATCGAGGACTACCGGTATTGTAGTTAGGGACGCTGAAACAGTATAATCAGTCAGTGGCTTCGCGATAAAATAGAAATTAACGATCGTTAAAAACCATACAATTAGAATAGTGTAGATATTAGCCATTGGTTTCAATAGTTTGTAAAGTTGCTCCATCGCCATCGCCAAAAAAATTGTGTTTAACGAATGTGTGCACTACTGCTACCACGTGTGTATATTTATAATGGCTACCTTTTCTCTTTTACATAGACGATGACATTGATTCTATTCATTTTTTCTTTCTGTTCTTGAAGTAAAAAAAAGCCATAATACACTGTTGTTTTTCTCCTTTACTATAGAATATTTTAGCGTAGGCTAAATGAAGGTAGTCTCGTTATACGTGAAGAAAAAATTTACTTTTATTTTTAATCGATATAAAACTCAATGAAGCGTAAGAATTGTTATCAATTCGATAGATATATATTCTGTAACTTTGTAATCATCAAATAGAAATTGACTATACTCTGAAAGTCCAGGTTCGTTGATCAATATCACTATTTGTTGTGTCAAGCATTGTTATTAGTCAATCAATAGTTTCGTTGATTCAAATGATGTTTAATAGCGGTAAACTGACGAATAATTATCTGTATTACTCTTTTGACTACTAAATAATTCATCACATTATCTAACCGTTCAATTAATTACAGATAGTGTTTCAAATATTGATATATTTTTTGTATCTAACAGTTTCTCGATGACTTTTCTCTTTGTTCGATAGAATCAAACCAGAAAATATGTTTGTTTAAATGTTTCATGGCATCTTTTTAATGAGGGTGTGAGTGTGGATGTAGGTTAAAAAGAAGCAGCTTCACTCACGTTCACATCTCCACCCCTGTGTTTAGTTATTTCCATCACATTTCATCGCTCTAGTGAATGCCTCATTATCTATTTTACGTTCTTTCGTGATGTACTTTTTTCAAGATATTTTGGGCTGTAATTTTATTTTTTTTCTAAAAGACAGGGTTTTTTTAATACTGTCGTTTCTTCTAAGAATTATTATAATAAATTAACAAGTCTAGTTCTTAATTATTTATTAATTATATCTGTTTTTTTTAATTATTATTAATATATATTTGAATAAAATGAATGTAGTATAACAGAGTATTGCTCATAAACTAGCGAAATATTCAACATTCTATTGTCCATACTCGTCGAAGAATACTGTTGCTACGGCAATATGTGACTTGAAATGACTGAACAATATTTAATTAATAAAATTATTTACTACTCGTTTAGAATAAGAATTCATGATAAACTCAAATATAAGATAATGACAAGTATAATATTAACAAAAATAGAACCATTGCGCTCCACAGAGCAGTATGTAAGCTCAATCTCCTGTGGTGCGCTCATTGTATAGCCAAGAATACAGAATCTATTTTGAGACATATAATTACAGAAAGTTAAATTTAGTATTCCAAGATTAAGTTTAATCCGCATTCGATTAATACCTTGAAAGTCTATCTTTGATTTGTTACTTATGATTTTTGTATTTTTTTACTAAATAAGAACTGGTTTCAATTCATTTTTATAAGTTCTTATGCTCCTCTGTGAAGTATGATAAAATATCAATACCACTGGTGGTATTCTTCAGTTAATTCTCATGTTATCATGCTCAAAAACGATCAGGACTATCTAGAAATAGACACATATGAGATAAGTTTATGAATGATTTGCCATCTGAAATTATATTTTAGTATTCCCCGAATGAAATATCGACATATAGCGAAGCACTGCATTCGTTCTTAATTTATCCTCATAATTAAAAATGCATTTCAAGCAGCCGAGCGACCGCTGAGAGGAAAAAAATGAAATGAAGCTTCTTAGCCGACAGCGACAACCAAAGCATCGCCATGCATATCTACTCATGATGAATGAAAAAGAGAGAAAGAGAAAAGGAAAAAAACACAGACAACAGAGAAATGCTTATTAGATCTTACAGAATAATCTTCATTACAATTATTAAAGAAATAGATGTTTATGACAATGCGTATCATTAGTATTCCACTTTCATCGACGTTTGTTAATGGTTAAGAAAAACAAAGAATCAGTAAAGTATATCATCAACAAATCTTTTCTACCAAAGGGTTTAACACATGACTGAATCATATTCATTGTCCGTTCCCTAATAGAAGTAGTCGATGCTCTTTGTTGATAAATTCACAGGTAAATTTTATAATTTATTAGAATTCTTAGAATGCTTGCTGTCTATGAAAGAGTTATACATGAAGATTATTTTTCTCTTCAATCACGTCCACATACTCAAGAGAAGCTTTAGAAATTGAAGTCGAAGTTAGATTTCAAAGCGAAAACGTTTAATTCTGAAATTTTCTATAATTAACTCTTGCATAACCTTGAATATTTCTTCAGTAATATGGAATGCTAAGACCATCTTTAACTAATAATATAACGTCACTTATTGTGAGTCGTTTCGTTATGTAAAAATATGATTTTGTTAAATGAGAAATACCATATCGCATGTATGGAAATATTTTTACAGATAACTCTTCCTGACAATAATTAACTTCACAGCAAGCGTCATTTCTCATTTTATAATAAAACACTCTGAATATCCCGCCGAGTTCGATCGTTTCTACGGAGATAGAAAAAAAAAGAAAATATTCCCTGTGTTTATATCAGTGAGAAAGAGCAGTTATGTGTTCAAGTCATTTAGTCTATCTTTCATTAGTGACACAGTACTATCTATATTTTTGTTTATTGTTCTAGCTATAAATATGAACGAGAGTGATGATACCGCCTCCATCATGTTTGAATGCGCATCTATAGACGATCTTGGCTATGATCTTATTCCCATGTATCGAATTTTATTTGGTATAAGTTGTATCACTGTTCCGATTGGAGCTTTAGTTTGCATCGTTTACCTTATTACTTTTATCTTTCGAGCGAAAAAAGTATTCAATGTCAAAAGTCACGCACTTTTACTGAGTTGCTTAGCTCAAATACTGCTTGGTATTCTCCAGGGACCAATCAGAATGTATTACTATTATCATCATGGATGTTTACCTCTGCCTGGTGCTCCATTATGTGTACTCACTGTCTATCTTGATTACATTCCAACACAAATCAATAATTTTCTCGTCGCACAACTTTCAATTGAACGTTTTTTGCTTGTCGTAAAACCGTTTATTTTTCATCGAGTTCGTGGTCAGAAATATTCATATGCCATCATTTTTCATTATATTGGTCTTTTTGTAGCTATTACGTTTCCTTGTATTTACTATCCAACGATCATGCAGAATGGAGCATCAACAATTGATCTTGACGATCCTTCGCAAACACCGACTTGTGATCTTTGGTATGCACGTGATATTTATGAGACATTTGATTTACTTATTACATTTACGCCTTATTTTCTCGTTTTATTCACTCATCTACTTCTCATTACCGTTCTTTTATATCGAAAATTTGTCATAGCTGATCGACAAAGAAGACAAGCTGGTTCGCGAAAATATCGACGTCTTCTCTTTTCTCTTAACTTATTTCTCATCTGGTTTCTTTTGACATGGTCTCCTTGGGTTCTCTATGACTTTTTTCAATCTGTTTTAAACTTTACCTATTCTGTTTACATTGACGCTATTACAACCTTCATCGTTTACTTGAACTACACTTTTAGTTCTGCTATTGTTTTGATCACTTTCCAAGACATGTATCAATTTTGTCTTGATAACTTTTTCTCTCGATGGAGAGTTTGCTTTCGTCAACGTCGTGTTGTACCGGCCTTTACCGTTACTCATGGTCAAACAATTGGTCTTACTCGAAGAGTGGGTACTATTCAAACAGTTGATCCAAATCTCACTGTTCAATATGTAGCAAGAAATCCTCGTCTTACTGCTGTTTGACAGTACGGAAACAAAGAATTTATTATAAAAATTAAATTTCTTTCTTAGTTGTCTTGAATATGTTGAAAAATAAACGTTCAATTCAGAAATCATTTCATCTTGAGTTTGAATCTTCAAAATACATTATAGATTAAGTTTACTGCATTACTTCGATCTGAATGCGATTTACTTGAACATTCAAAATAGAGATATCATCATACAAACAAACAGTAAAATCAAAATATCTATTTTCAATAGCTACATTGTTTAGATCTCATAAGCAGATGAAAATTCGACTAAATAGAATTCAGTTTCATATTATTTGCTTAGCTTTAATATAATCAATAAAATCATATAATGCGACACTTCACTAATTAACCATCTCGGAGGTGTGAATATAATCTCAGCCCACGCCCACATTATTTAGAATGGTTAGGGGTGGGTGAGTGAAGAGGGGTCAAAGGTAAAAAAACATCGAAAATCAATTTTTCACGTTTTTTATTTGTTTTTCCAGTAAATGTGAAGAAAATGGATTTCTACGAGAAAGAGCTAAGTGAGCCCTCGGACGAGCGTTACTTGTGTATATTATACTCGATTTTGAAAGTATATTTTTCTTCGATAAAAAATATTAGAAGAAGAAACGGACGTATCATCAACTTAGTGTTTCTAATATAATCATGGAGATGCTGTTTTTTATTCACAAAACAAGTTAACTTTTTGTTTCCATCATTGTTTTAATCAGATGCAATTCTCTTTTTGTGAAACAACGTAGTTTATGTTATTATGATTACAATAGAGTCTACATGATTTTACCAGCTCTCTGTTTGTTCTGTGTACACAAAACATCATAGCAACATACAATAAATAAAAGAAAAATAAGAGAAACATTTACTCGGGGAACTATTTTTGAGTGAGAAAAACAGTATATTAGAATGTGTTGTTATGATAAGTCAATATTTAACTAACTTTGGAATACTAAAAATACTGTTTGTTTTAATTTATCTAATAAATAGAATGTTAAAACTATTCTGCATGAATATTAGTCTTAATTGTATAGATCATTTCCAGATTGATGGATAAAACTATAAGTATGTGTTCAATTACAAACTATAATCAATCAAAAATGAAAGAATAACAGAAAGAGAGATTTTTGAAATATTGTTATATTTTGTGCTACAGAAACTTAAGTCGAGTGTATTTGATTTTGAAGTGTTCAGTTTTTTCGTCTATCCAGCAGCTTATCTGATTATTCTTCGTTTAGATATTAAAGATTGACAGTATCCTATATGAATAATGTGACAGTTCACTGATATATTGTATAGTGTATGAAATACATTTGAAGTATTTAGATTTGAATACGTAAATAAATTTCAATCAAATTATTTTGATTTTTTATAAAAAATTTATCTTCAACTAAATGTTGATTATATTTTCTTGTTAAATTCAATTCCGTTAAATTAATTCTTCTTTATGTTTTTCACCTTTTATATAACTTAAAAGCGCTATTTATAAAAATATTTGTCTTTTAATAGTATTGAAACACCTAGGAAAATCATCTCTCCGAATATATAAATATTTATGAAAATAAAAAAAGACCTGGCTACTTTTGTTTGATTAAATTGATGAAACGAATTCTGGAAAGACGACATTGGAACTGTTTGTTCATAGATTGATGAAATGAATTCTTGGAAAAAGACAGCAGGACTGTTTTTCCGTTAGATTGGAAAAAAACCCTCGAAAAAACTATGCACTATCATCCACTGAAAAGAGAGAAAAAGAATGAAATTATTTCTCAATAAATATTTTGTCTTCTATTATAATTGAATTCACTTCATCAACTTAGAATCTGATGCTTGATGGCTTCAACAAAAGTTTATTTATGGCTTTCATTCATGATTATCACACAAACAGTCGGACAAGATATACGATCAGAGGAAATGTCTTTAATACCTGATTCTAAATTTCAATGTGCCAATACAACATGTTTACCATTCATTAGTGTTATTACAACAGACATTAGGAATTGTCAGTTTGCCTGTTTAGGTCAAAGTCAATGCATAGCAGCTACTTTTCATCGATCAACTTCAAATTGTGAATTATTTGATAATATGTTGAACCAAAATGGAAATGTGTTGGCTGATGTGGATGCTACCAGTATGAATGTTATTAGTGGAACACGATTTCCACCTGGTTAGTATAAGAATAGAAAAGATTTAAAAGAAAATATATCCCTGAGAGCTACAAAAATTTACTTTCTTGAAAAATGATTTCAAGTTTTCGAGAGTTAAGACTACTTGACAAAGATATTGGACACATCTGTGCGTAAATCATCAATCGATTCGCCTCAGAATAACAAAAAAAAAACATTCAACCAAAACGTTTTAGAAGGGATTCTTTTTAAACTAGACAATCAGTACCATCGAATATTAAAAGAATAATGAAGAAAAAAGGAAATAATTATCCCATCAAACGTCTATGGATATTATGCTTTTCATAATCATAAATCTATACAAAATTTCGATATCCGTGAAACGAAATCCTATCGCAATTTCATAGAAATAGAACGCATTGGACAGATCCTTCGGAAATAGATAAGAAATTCAAGTATTGAATATTCTCGTTCTGTTTAACAGTGTCAGACGAAAACATTGTTAAGGAAAAGATTTTCATGCAATAGAACTCATTAATCATTTTACTACTCACTCACACCAACTCATTCTCGAGATGATCGGAATAATTTTACATGTTGAAGTACTAGTTGACATAATACCGACATAAGACATGTCTATCAACATCTAATGTCATATTTTACGTCGCATTTATATAGAGTTGAATAATTCAAAAAATATCGTAGTAACATAAAATGCAAATTTCAAATCCGAGAAAAACGCTTTTCATCATCATCAATTAACCCTTAGTGTACTGATTTTCTTATGAGAACGATGCAAGAATTATATTCTATTACCCTCATATAAATCATATCCATCTAAGATGATCAAAGTACATCTTGTTTCCACTATGTTGAACAATGTAGAATGAGTTTCACTCAAGTTCTAAAATTCGATCATTATTCGTCATAACCGAATTGTAGGACTGTGTCTCAGTTTTTTCAGTTCGCGACATTCATAGAATTCGAAAAACAGCAGTGAAGTCGTTTATAATATATTTTGATTTATATGATTTAACATTTCATAATGAATCTTATCTCAACTGTGAAAGCAAAGAGAAGTTTATTAAAGGTCTGAAATCACTTAATCTGTGATCAATAGATAGTCAACTTATGCGCACGAGAGTTTTGAAGTCGCTTTAAGAACAACATTATTTTTCTCACTTTTCTGTCTTATCTAGAATGGACAATGACGGGAAACATGAGCATCGCACGATATTATCACACAGCATCCGCATTAGCAAATGTATCAGTATTAGTTGCTGGTGGATCGGACAGGAATGGTGTTTATCTCAATAGTGCTGAGCTGTACAATCCATCAACAGGCACTTGGACAATCACAGGAAGCATGAGTATCGGACGAAGTTGGCATACAGCATCCACATTAGCAAATGGATCAGTATTAGTTACTGGTGGAATGAGCAGCGGTAGTTTTCATCTCAATAGTGCTGAATTGTACAATCCAACTACAGGCACTTGGGCAACCACAGGAAACATGAGTAGCGGACGATATTATCACACAGCATCCACACTAGCAAATGGATCAGTATTAGTTGCCGGTGGACAGATCAACGGTTTTACTGCTCTCAATAGTGCTGAGTTGTACAATCCATCAAAAGGCACTTGGACAACTACAGGAAGCATGAATGTCATACGAGGATATCACACAGCATCCACATTAGCAGATGGATCAGTATTAGTTGCTGGTGGACAGAGCAACGCTGCTACTACTCTCGATAGTGCTGAGTTGTACAATCCATCAACAGGCACTTGGACAACTATAGGAAGCATGAATGTCGCACGAGAATATCACACAGCATCCACATTAGAAAATGGATTAGTATTAATTGCTGGTGGATATAATAGTACTAGTTATCTCAATAGTGCTGAATTGTACAATTCAACAACAGGTACTTGGACAATCACAGGAAGCATGAATACCGGACGAAGTTGGCATACAGCATCCACATTAGCAAATGGATCAGTATTAGTTGCTGGTGGACGTGACGGTACTAGTTATCTCGATAGTGCTGAATTGTACAATCCATCAACAGGCACATGGACAACCGCAGGAAGCATGAGTATCGCACGAGAATATCACACAGCATCCATATTGGCAAATGGAAAAGTATTAGTTACTGGTGGATGGGACAGCTTTAGTGCTTTCAATAGTGCTGAGCTTTATTAATCGATATAGACAGAATGATATTCTCTTTTATGAACTGAATCATAAATTTTTTTTATATGTAATCAAACTATTTAATCATTCACATTTAATATATTATTATTCACTAAATAATATATGAGTTGCAGTAATATTTCGAAATCATATTGTATAGTGTGATGGGGTTAATTCTTGTATATTATAATGTGGATATATATTTTATGTTCTTATTATGAGCATAATTTTATAAAACG